CCGCGCAGCGCGTCCCACCTGCCGGCCCCGGGGCGAGCGGGGGTCGCGGGGCGCTGGCCCGGGCTGGGGCTCTCACCGGGAGGCGGCGGGGCCACCGCCCCAGCAGCGCGCACGGCCCTGGCTTCGTAGCAATGGCCCCCAAACCAGAAGCAGCCCCCGGCCGCCCTCGGCATCCTCTGTCTGCACCAGCCCGGGGCGGTCGGGGCACCGGCACGGACCTCCTGGGTAGCCGGGCCCTCGCTCTGCCTCTGCTTGGCACAACCACTCTGCTGTGCCACCGTGTCTTGCTTCTCCGCAAGAGCCCACGCCACCTTCGAGGACCCCTTCCAGCTCAACGCAGAGCTAAAAGATGAGCAGGGCACCGTGTCCCAGGAGCCCCTCCTGGGCAGGACCCCCGGGGCAGCACGGCGGATGCACTCCAGCATCAGCATCTCCGCACCCTCTGCAAGGGAGGCTACAGCCTTCCAGGAGCATCACTCTCACTGGAGAGAATGCGTCCCTGCATCCCTCAGCGCGACACGGTGTGATAGCAAGCTGGGTTAAATCAGCGGCTCGCTCTTCACCCCCTTCTCAGCAACGCGGGGCTAAATCTCTTGGCGGAGAGCTGGACCCCCAACCTGTGAGGCACAGAAGGTGGGAGCCTGGTGTGTGTCAACACAGCAAAAACCCAAACCCTTCTCACCTCCTTTACCTCCACATTGCTCGGCACTGAGCTCACGCTTGAACCATGTCCAGAAATTGGACACACAGCTGGTTCCTCCAGGCTGACAGTGTGTAAGAACATTCCTGCCCATGCCAGTCACTCCCTCCCAAAGGCATGAGATAACCAGTTACCCACTGGGGCCAAGGCAGGGCAGCGGAGGGAATGAGGCAGATCGTGGGGCCAATTTCTCACCGCGATGTGCTTATGAGCCACCAAGCAAAGCAAAGGGCTGCAACGGCAGGCCAGCCAGGAGACCCCCGCCAGTGCATGCTGAGCGTGTGCGGAGCTGGCTTCGCTCAGCAAACTAATGAACGGAGCATTTCCCCCAGGTTTCTGTCTCTTTGTCATCCCAGAAATGCCAAATGTTGGGTTCAGACAGGAAAAGAAAACAAAACCCCCAAAAACAGAGAGGTCGGAGATCCAGGTTGGAAATCCAGCCTGGAGTCTGCATAAAGTCAGAGCATCCTCTGGACTTCAGCGAGACAAAGCTGACATGCGCCAGCTCCGGAGCTGGTCACAGTGCATCCCAGTTATTTACAGTGTGCAGGATTAAAGTGCACGGTTTAAACATATCCAGCCTTTCTTTCCTTGCTGTGTATTTCTGCTGTCATGATCCCAGCGTGGTGTGCTGAACTCTGAGCTTTCCTTCAGTCATTTGGATCACACACACTCTGCAGTTAGAGTCATGAAACAATACTGTTCTCCAGCTCTTTTATCATTAGCTCTCAAAACAGTCAGCAAAAGAGGTAGGTATCGTTATCCCTCGAGACTGGATATTATCAGTAAAACGCTCTCATTACCGATTTCCTGACCCCAACACACATGCGAAGCTTGAACCAGTTTCAGCCTTGGTGCTAAGGCAGATGTGCACTCTGCCTTTGCTCACTGCTGGGTGGGAAAACGCGGGTCTCAGCAGTGTCAGAATTAAAGCAAACACAGTAACGAGAAGCAGCTCAGGGCAGAGACACCCAAGAGTCAGGAACGGGGCAATTACTCAGCGAGATGTACTGCTGTTGGCACTGCTGCCTTAGTAAATCCTGGTGAGGGGATTAACATCTGACTGTAATTGTAATAATAAAATCCGACATGTATACAGCATTTTTCATCTTGAAGGATCCCAAAGTACTCAAGTAACTTAACTCCTTCAGCTGTCTCCTGGACTTTATAAACATGCTTCTTAATCATCCTGTGCCAGGCGAAGATGGCTTTGCTCTGGGCACACACACGTCACTTCGACAGGTCCCCTGTGGGAGAGGAGAGGCTCTCCAGGGTGGGCTGGAGAAAGTTTCCCCTTTCGGAGGCAAGATCCCTGGAAAACGGTGCTTGGCATGTCCCAGGGGCAGCAGGGGGAAGGCACCAAGGTCTGCAGGGGGCTTGGAAGACCCTCCCAGCCTTTCTAGTGGGCAGCCCGTGGTGGGCTAACCGCCGTGCTCTTGTGCTAGCCAGTGTGAAGCATTTCACTTGGAGTTCTTCTGAACCTTTCAAGGTGAGGGGAATAAAGACAATCCCCTAGACAGGAAATTTAAGGCTTAATTCTGCCTGCGGGGTCCACCACAACAGCCAAAGGCTCCTTCTCCAGCCCCTTCCCATTCTCTTCTCTTCGGGACTAGAGGCACTGGGGAAAAATCCTATTTATGGCTGCTTGCGTGGACTAAGGCTGAGCAGTGCTATGCATTCATATACCTTCCCTCTTACTGTTCTCTGCGGGCACACAGCCCAACTCACAATCTAGCCCTTAATTAAAGGATTTAAAGTTGGAAAGGGTACATATCACATACAGAAAAGCGTTATCAAAATAATTCCATGTAAGAAGAAAGATGCGATGTTAAAGGCACCTTCTGAAGGCTGAAATGATTGCAAACTGCTTATTTTTGCTTCTTTCCCTCATCTGGCATCCTTCTGCCATCTAAAGAAGACCTGGAAGATTTTTGAGACAAAAGGAAAAGGGCATTTCTATTTCACATTTGAAACTTAGGCGGTACCTACTCTGTTTTCACTGGAAGGCTCCACAAGCAAGTAAATTCCTAGTAGCAGCAAAACATCAGTGGTACTGCCTTAGCAACACAGTTATTCAACTGACAAAGTTTTTTATCTTTTAGCTCGTTTCAGGCAGCACTAATTTAAGTCAAAGCCAGGGGTAAAGATACAGAACAAAATCATCCTTCTTACAAAGTAATTCCTATTCCTTCAGCTTTAGGCACAAAAGCTTCAAATCCACACCTTAAACCATGAAAAAGCCTCTGGCCCAATCCAGGAGAGCAGGAAGCCCATGCTTGGAAACCTAAAAATGAGAGAGAAGAGAAGAGAAGAGAAGAGAAGAGAAGAGAAGAGAAGAGAAGAGAAGAGAAGAGAAGAGAAGAGAAGAGAAGAGAAGAGAAGAGAAGAGAAGAGAAGAGAAGAGAAGAGAACTCCCAGCCAAATGTCCTTTGTCTCTTTTGGGTTTTTCTATTGCTTTCTGTTTGCTTGTTTAAGTTTTCCAGGCTCTCTTTATGCTTGAGAAATAATGCTGATGGGCTGGCATGGCAAGTATGAGGAAAGGCTTGGGTCTGACAAGACAAAAGCCCTAATTTTCACTTGAGGAACCAAAAAAAAAAAAAAAAAGACTAAATGATGGTGCACCAGGTTTTCATTAGAGATATGTTTATTTTCCAGTAGAAATACATTACTCTGCTCTCGTCAGTGTGTCTAAAGGAGTGGTTCCCAAAGTATGCCATGGCAAGTGGTTGGCAGGGGTCCACGAAGCAGCCTCCTGCAGCAGCTCACGGGCTTGCTGGTTCCCTGCAGTCTGCTGCGAGCAGGAGGAATTCGGAGGCTGAGAGCGGCTGGCTGGCCCCAAAACCTGGTGAAGGCAAGGGAGACAGCGAAGCCCATGCAGCCGCCCGGGGCTGGCTGTGACTCAGCACGCACCTCTGTGCAGCGGAGCTCAGGGCAGGACTCGGGTGTCTCTAGTTGGCCAGATTCCCCTGGGGCAAAAATGTC